CCTAAGTTTTATTAATTTCTAATTTTTTATTTTTTGTATATAGTATATTCATAACAGGAAGGCTCTATTTTCATCTTTGTAAACCCAGAACAATATAGAAGTAACTTAATCACTGAAAAATATTTTTAAAAAGTTAATCGGTGAGTGCAAATGATGTTATGTTCTTTTGAAAATCTACATTTAGAGTCATAAAAATAAGAGCCCAAAGGGTTGGTAACAGAACCCAGGATTCATGTCTACTTTTTGATTCTCTCTCAGTATATTTCTGGATGACTTCAATGATTTATCATGACATATCCTCTTTGTTCCTTATCTCTTTTTCTAGTTGAAAAATAGAATAGCACCAAGCTTTATACTTAACCATATTGTGATAGTTTTAAGAATTGGTGTTTTTATAATAACTGAGCAAAGTGGAGCAGCTACCTATGAACTTTTGCCACTAAAGCTATTTGTACTGTGGATTAGCTATGCCTGTACCTTTTGTCTACATGTCTGTAGCCTTCACATCTAATATATTGATAACCATTATTTGGCCCAGTATACTACTATTTTGACCACGGGAATAGATGGGTTAGGGAGAGATTAATGCCAAGATGTGAAGACCAGATCAGGATCAAACAAACTTCATGATGAAATTATACACCTACATTAGTTACGTAGGTCTGCATTTTGTGTGAAGTTTCTTCCATTACTAGGACAATAGTATTGAAAACTAGTACGTTTAGGGGCGCCTGGGTGGCGCAGTCGGTTAAGCGGCCGACTTCAGCCAGGTCACGATCTCGCGGTCCGTGAGTTCGAGCTTCGCGTCGGGCTCTGGGCTGATGGCTCAGAGCCTGGAGCCTGTTTCCGATTCTGTGTCTCCCTCTCTCTCTGCCCCTCCCCCATTCATGCTCTGTCTCTCTCTGTCTCAAAAATAAATAAACGTTAAAAAAAAAAATTAAAAAAAAAAAAAAGAAAACTAGTATGTTTAATTGTGAGACACAGTGCATAACTGCAAGTCTGACCATGTGGTAAGAAGACTATAAGGCATATACTTTCGTCAACTATGCTTTGATTTGATTGAGTTAAAAATAAAATGACTCACTTCTTCGCCTTTATTCATGAATGCTGTTTTCTCAGCTAACTTGCAAGGAAAAAAGTAAGTCTCATAATGTACATTGGATCTCAAATGTTAAATGTACTGTGCCTTATTTCAAATTGTTTATCCTAGAAGCTATTGTACTTGTCCTGAGTGAATGGACATTCCTTTTCATGGTTTTTTTTTTTTTTTTTTTTTTTTTTTACTTATTTATTATCCAGTTAATTATAGCTTCTAAATAAGAACATGAAGAACAATAACACAGTTTGATCACTTTCTGGAAGTTGTACTAATACAAATGAGTAAACGAAATTGGATTTTTCGATTACATATAAAGTAGCAGAAATTTAATGACCTTCTTATCTCAGTGAGGCACTTATTAAGGATTAGCAGTTTAAAAGAGCTTGAAAGTATTAGCATCTGCAACGGGTTTAGGAAGGTTGGATTATCAAGACATATGCTCTGTATCTTTCTCTTCTTGGTCCTCACTTGAGGGAATAATTATGAGTAGAAAAATTTTCCCATTTCCCCCAAGACTCTCTCCTGGGAGAGTTTACTCTTTAGAAATCATAACTCTTTCAATGGCAATTAGCAGTTTTATCAACAGGTATTGTAAAGAAGATCCTGTCAGCTGCTAAGCAGGATTTTCAGCTGCTTGCTAAATCCCACCCCTAGACATGTTAGTTCTCAAGTGCAGCCTTTAATGCCCTGTTAGTTAGGAATACTGCAGCCAAGTATATGTCAGGTAGCATGATGTCCCCTTTACCAACCAGTGTTGGAGCTTTGCGAAGCCATAGTCCTGGCAGGAATGTAAGCCTTATCCGTTATCTTAAGCAGTTTATACTGTTTGATTCCATCCAAAAATACAAAATAATTCTGGCACATAATGTTATTAAATACTCTTTTTCGGATCCACCAGAGAAGAGACATGAGCATTCTTCTATTTGCATTTGCTATTAAAACCAGAAACCATGTCATTAACACATGTTACACTGTTAGACTCTGAGTGGTTAATTATTTGTGTCAGTCGAAGAGGCTGCTTCGATAAATCATAATTTATTCTAAAGAAAAGACATCTGGCCTGAGAAACAGGAGGTCAGAATAGGGGTTAAAGATAACTGTTGTAAAGCTGGCCAAGAATTTTCCACAAGATTTAGGGAGAAAGTACCACTGATAATGTCTGGAAGGACCCATTTTCGCCTCCCACCCCCAATAATGCATGCCTAATCCATTCATATTCCTTAGTGAGATGATTAAGCATCTACAGAGTAAATATACTTCAGTATTATGTATTATGAGATATGTCTTGCGTTACAACTCAGCTTGAGTTGTGAACATCAGCAAGTTTGTGGCTATGGAAGGTACTTGGTTGCAAAAGAAACTTCAGCCTATATTCCACAGTACAATTTGATCCCGTGCCATTCCATACTCAATTGGAAAAAACTAAATCTCAGTCATCTCTCCCTCTCTAAATTTCTCTGGCAACCTCATGGCAATCAAAACTATGTAAAGGGGAGATCATGATGTGAGTGTTTTTGTGCCTAAGGACTTCAAATCTTCACATCCATGCAAAACAATTGACTGGCTAGATGCTAGATGATACTAGACGCTAAATATATGGGTAGAGTATTGAATGATCACATATTACATCATTATATGGACAAATTATCCTGAATAATTTATCTATATTTCTTAACCCCTTTATAAAGAACATTTCAACTGTGTAATGTTTAGGCCCCTGTTGGATTTTAAATACAGTAAGACCTTGGATTGCAAGTAACTTGTTCTGTGAGTGTTCTGCAAGACAAGAAAACATTTCTAATAAATTTTAACTTGACAAACGAGCGATGTCCTGCAATACGAATGGTATGTGATGTCAAACATCACAGGATCACAACTGATCCAATGGTTCTTGAAATTTGCTTTGATATACAGGTGCTTTGGATTATCAGCATGCTTCCAGAATGAATATGCTCACAAACCAAGGTTTTATTTTAACTATTAATATGTACGTGCCTTCCCCAAATTGCAACACTGTTCATCTAAAATAGATAAGATGATGGTAGTTAAGGTGGTTAAGGGTACAAACTTGTAGTAAGTAGTAAATAAGCCATAGACGTCAAATGTACAATAATTAATATAGACAATAATGTACCATAATTATGTAATATGATAAATATTGCTACATTGGCAATCTTTGACAGTACAGAAATATATCAAAGTAACTTTACGTATGCTGTATGCTGTATGCCTTCAAATCATACAATGATGGGGGCACCTGGGTGGCTCAGTCAATTGAGCGTCTGACTTTGGCTCGGTTCATGATCTCGCGGTCTGTGAGCTCGAGCCTCACGTAGGCCTCTGTGCTGGCAGTTCGGAGCCTGGAGCCTGCTTCGAATTCTGTGTCTCCCTCCTTCTCTCTCTGCCCCTCCCCTGCTCATGCTCTGTCTCTCTCTCTCTCTCTCTCTCTCTCTCTCTGTCAAAAATAAATAAACATTAAAACAATTTTAAATTATACAGTGTTACATGTCAAATTTATTCAATAAATAAAAATAAAACGCCAAAATACATAAAATAAGGTTTTCCTTTCTATTCTATATTCCTTATCTATTCTATTTCCTCTATATTCTAGTCAAGTAAATTATACTTATAAATATTCTGCTGGGAATTAGGATTTGATACAACTTTCCTCATAACAAGTTAACTCCTAGTCTGTGTACTTATTATTCTCTCTACCTTTTTAAAAAATCTTCATTCAATTGGTCAAACTCCCAATTACACTTCTCTTTCTTACACTAAACATGTCCGTCCATGTAAATTGGCCAATTGCTAGCCTTACATCGAGAGTGAGCAACCAATCTCTCCCACAACAAGTAATTCATATACTATTTCATATTTTTCAATTTACTCTTTTCTGTCTCTCTTAATATCAAAGTTGTACACATACATAATCACTTTCCTCAACAGCATCGATAATTACCGCATTCTTATTCATTAATTTTATCAAATCAATTTTCGTGCTTATAATGTGGCAGACATTTTGTCAGGATACAAAGGTAGGTAATACCTAATCACTTCCTCCAGGGTTCTCTCATAACCCTGGAATTTCTTATATACAGTCGCTGATAATGGGCACAGCCTGTGCTCTAATACCAGCACCCATCAGGCTCCACTATGACTACCATTATGTATGGTTGTTGTGGATGTGGATTTTGGATTCAGCCTGTGGTGATTCAGTCTCCTTATCATTTGCTTATTACCTTTGTGATGTGGGGAGAATCATTTTACTTCTATATTGCTCAGTAAATGCGACTTAAAAATAAAGGTTATAGCAGTACCTATTTCACAGGGTTGCAGTAAGGATTTAATGACATGATACATAAAACTCAACATACAGTGCTTGGCATGTTAAAAGCGCTTAATAAGGGTATGTGTGTGTGCTTTGAAAATTTTGAGAACAGCGGATCTAAATAATTGTAATTAATTTTTTGGACAAAAGAAAATGTAAGGGATTTTAGGTAATTTGGTATTTGCATCTTGATTTTGTATTTATTTGTGATTTTTTTAACCGATGCTCCATGTGAATGTCACAAAAATTGATACAATTGTTGACATTAAGGTAATTTGCTTTTATATTAAATGACTATATACTACATATTATAAAATCTTGAATAAAATTTACAAAACAATTATGAAGCCGCACTAGGAAGCAGTTATTACTAGAAATCTTGGACTTCATCTTATATGACTCAGGCAAATAATTAAAAATGAAAATTAAGGTAATGGCATATTTTTTATTTGAAAACACTGAGTTTCAGTGCTATTCACTTACATAAATTTTATAATGTAAAAATGAAAACATCTAAAAAAAGTCTAAGTAGTGACTTTACTATAAGTTGTTACCTTTCTTTTTATCTTCCAGGAATACACAATAGATATAATTTTTGCCCAAACCTGGTTTGATAGTCGTTTAAAATTCAATAGTACCATGAAAGTGCTTATGCTTAACAGTAATATGGTAGGAAAAATTTGGATTCCTGACACTTTCTTCAGAAACTCAAGAAAATCTGATGCACATTGGATAACAACTCCTAATCGTCTGCTTCGAATTTGGAATGATGGACGAGTTTTATATACTTTAAGGTAATACTGTTTTAAAAAATATAGCTGCTTTAATTTATTTTCCATACTAATATTTGGTCAAGTCATAAATTTTCCTTTTTCAGTATTACAAAGAAAGAAATATGGAGTTCCTTTCATACACTAAAATCTAAAATAGCGGTATACTTTGGAAACTTTTTTTAAAGCTCAGAGTAACTAGCATATGAAAGGAATGAAAAACAAACAAGAAAAATCTCTTGATTCCTCCCTCCTTCCCTCCCCAACTCTGCAACAAAAGAGGGTGTGGTGTGAACATTATGTATTTTAACCTATGGTGCAAATAGTTGAGATTTTCTCTAGGAGCACAATCTACTATAAAGTTTTCAATAATGTAATAAAGCATCCTTAAGAAAGGATTAAATGAAGGTTGATGTATATAAGATTCAAGTTTATTTAATTCGTTGTCTTGAACATATCTTAACATATCTTATCAAGGATCATCCTAATCTTAAGAATCATCCTTAGTGAAAAGATGTTCATGAAAACTTAAGAGAAAACAATCACCTTACATAACCATGTATACTCAGTTAATTGTGTGTGAGTGTGTGTGTGTGTGTGTGTGTGTGTGTGCAATGTGTTTTTGTGATCCTGAAGTATAAAGTTTTAACCGTAAGCAGATTTACTGAAATGTATATAGTGGTAGCTTAATTGGCTGGAAAGGAAAATGTTAGAATTTTCATACTCACTTATGAATGTTACAATATTAACATTTAAAACTTTGAAGTATTATAATTATTATTATTTTCTAATATATCACAGACTGTTATTACAGGCCAAAATCATTCTTGAATATTAGACAAAGGATTTTTAATGCTTGAAATTATTTATTATTTAATATTTATTTTTTCATTTAAATAGATTGACAATTAATGCAGAATGTTATCTTCAGCTTCATAACTTTCCTATGGATGAACATTCCTGTCCGCTGGAATTTTCAAGCTGTAAGTGACAAAATGCATGATAAGTTCATAGAGTTTTAGCCTCAGACCTGTTTATTTAAAAATGTAAAATAAAGTGAGATAAATGCAATTTATATAATTTTCTGAGGTGGGGATTATATTCTTCTCTCAGATAAAATAATTACAAATGACATATTTGTTTCTGGCTTTTGAATTAAAAAGTGACAATGAATGCATAGTAAATGTATGTTTTATTATTTCATTCCTTACAAATTTTGATTTTATCCCAGTGCCTTTTCCTATTTTGATTAAATAAAGTAGTCCTGAAGATAGTGGTCAAATGTTTTAATACTCCCTTGAATAAAATGTTGATTCAAATTTTATTCGTCTCCCTGAGGCAAGATTTAACTTTATTACATTGGATTTTAAAATATGTTTCAAAGATTGGTTTGGTGAATAATATTTACTACATGAATACTAAATCTTTGAGACTTTAATGAGTTGGAAAAGCCAAGGTAGAAATGTTTATTTTATTTGAAAGAAATATTGAAATACAGAGAAATGATTAGAACTAAGTAATTTTGATATAAAAATATTTTATTTCAAGAAAATAATTGTTACCTTTCTATATGAATATCAATTCTATTTCATAATTACTAACATATTTACGTATATATCTTATAAAAGGTTTTTCTAGACAATATATAAATGAGTAAGTCTTAAAAACATGTAAAAAGAAATATTATTGCTTATATGCACAAATTGTCTAGTGCTATTTTCCTTCTATTGAAATTTGACTTCTTTGTATATTACATACTAAAATCTATTCACACTACATTTTATGTATTCACAAGTATTATCCTGCTTCTTCACTCACAAAAATCCCCAAATATCTCTTGTTGCTTTTATTGAATTTTCTTGACTTTTCTTAATGATTTGTGTCATATTAAAATATCCTTTTAAAGTTATTATCTATCTCACTGGCCAAATCATACCAAAGACTTGATGAATACAACATTCAAAGAATAGTTGATATGAAAATATTTGAAAATGTAGCAATTATTGTACTTGCCTCTGGATACCATGACTACATCTTTGGTGTGATATCTCTTTGACTATGATTTGGAAATTAATTGTTGGAAATTAATACTCTATCCTTGTGAATTCAATTGGTTGTCACCTACATAAATATAATGATCACAGCTAACTTTTTTAAGGTATTCTATATCGATCCAGTAGAGAATTAAGTTTTCTATTCCTAATGTTTTACAGCAAATATATTCAAAATATTTCAATATATCCCCATTTCAATAGTCAATATCATGAAATTTAGAGTAATTAAGTAATGAGCTCACTGTTTTTATTTCTACCCACACTCCTATATACTATATTGGATCAACAATGATAATTAAAAAAATAGAGATTATGGAAAAGCAAGACGGTTAGAGCCTATCGAACAAGACAGAACGCGAAAAAAGAAAAGAGAAAACAGAGTTTTAAAACAAGTTAGTGGAGAGATGACAGCTATTTTGTCATGGCTGATGAAGAGATCCTGGTACAAAATGATATAATGTTCTGGAAATTTTTAAGGTTGATAGTGGATTCTGTTCTTATAATATGGTAGACCAACTCTTCTGTTGAAAACAATTTAAAACTTATATTATTAAAAACATTCTCAAAAACATGTGAGTAATCACCAGGAAAGAATTGAAGCAATAAAAATGAAACCAGAAAGTTGAGCTTTGAATTTGACAGATTTGTGGATTAGAGATCTATTAGAACATAATTTGTACATACAGCTGGGTTACAAAGGCTGGGAGCTTAGGGTAACATGAATAACCTCCCCTTCCCCCATATACACTCTCTCTCTCTCTCTCTCTCTCTCTCTCACACACACACACACACACACACACACACCCACTAAAGTCTAAAAGAACAGTTGCCTCTGCAATCAGCATACTAGGGGTGAAATAACTCCTTGAGAGGATATAATTGCAGACCCACCCTCACATGAATTTTCAGCCTGAATTTCCTTCACTCGATTACTTTAAAAAGCCCTTGTGGATTTTCCTGACCTGTGTCAGACACAAAAATTTTTTGAAAGAATGCACCTCCATGTTGGGCAACTACATTTCAACACAAGTAACTAACAAAAATCTAATATTCAGAGTATGTAGATAACAGACTAAAAAAGGGGGGGTGGGAAGAAAATCCAATAAAAGAACAGGTAATAGAACAAGCAGTTCTCCAAAGTAGAAACCCAAGAATCTAATAAACATATGAAAAAATTACTAAGTTTCATTCATAATAAGGAAAATGTGAAATAAAATATACTTAGAGACCAGTAAAAATAGGCTGTCCACATCAAGTTAAATGAGACTGTGGATCCACGTGTATTTTCACACACTGGCTGGTGAGAGAATATATGGTATGCTTTCTATGAATAGAAGATTGGCACTGTTTCATAAGGTGGAAATTCTATGCCATCCATGACCTAGCTCTTCCATACATAGATATATGTCCCAGAGAAATTTTGTGTATATGTATTTTGTGAGGCATGCATGGTAATGGTACAAACAACACTGTTAGTAAGAGTCAACAAGAAACATTATAAGCATCTACAATAGCAAAATGGATAAGTAAATTTCAGTACATCTTTACAATGGAAGAAATTTACTAAAGCTGCGTACATTGGCATGGATAACTATTATAGATATCATATCAAAACAAGTAAAATATAAAGTAATGCATGTAGTATGGCACCAATCAAGTAGAGCTGAAAAAACCTAAAATAAGCTATATGTTTCAGAAATGCATATCAGAACATCTATTTTCTGATTTCAGAAATCAGGTTAGTGGTTACATTTAGTTGGGTGAGGGACTACTACATTGGGATGGGGACATGAATTTCCCTAAGAAACCAGCATGATTCTGTTTTTTGATTTAAGTGGAGTGGCATGGATTATCATTATTGGATCATTATATGGTTATTTTTAAACTATACACATATATTTTATGCTGTATTTTCTATATTTGACATATCCTATCATACAAAAATGAATTTCAAAGAACTTGTCTTTGAATAATGGTATTGCAACAGTAACAGATTTGGATCTTGCTAAACTCTGTATGTTTATTTTAATTTTTTTATCTAGATGGGTACCCTAAAAATGAAATTGAGTATAAGTGGAAAAAACCTTCTGTAGAAGTGGCTGATCCTAAATACTGGAGATTATATCAGTTTGCATTTGTAGGGTTACGGAACTCAACTGAAATTTCTCACACCATCTCTGGTAAGGAAACACCAATCAGTGAATGATGCTAGCATCAAATGCCTTGTATTTAAATCTGTTGGTTCAAACCTATGCTTTTATGTATTTTAATAGCAAAAATAAAACTTTTCTTTTCTTCTAGGGGATTATATTATTATGACAATTTTTTTTGACCTGAGCAGACGAATGGGATATTTCACTATTCAGACCTACATTCCGTGTATTCTGACAGTTGTTCTTTCTTGGGTGTCTTTTTGGATCAATAAAGATGCAGTACCTGCAAGAACATCACTTGGTATGATATGTAATATTATGCTATAGTATCATAGGACTGTTGAAATATTTCAGTGTGGAAGAGTTTGTAGTTGAATATATTCGAATATCCCTCTACATTACAATCAAGCAAAAATTTAAAAAATACTCCAGTGCAATACAATGTTGAAAGGAATATATGAAAAACAAGTAGTAAATTGAATCACAAAGAATTTAATTTCAGAAAATTTTATATTTTTTCCTGCTCATGGAGTTCAAGGGAAGCATGAATACTCAGCAAGAATTAATAAGCGAAAACCACGCATAATTCCTGAATCTTCATTTGGTCAATATTTTCAATCACTTTTCATCAAGATTTTTATTCTTTTGCTCAATCATTGATAGCCAGCATTTATTGACTGATGTGTGTTTAGAAGGCTTCGGAATCTCCTGCTCTTACAATGGTGCTAATCAACAGCCAACTTTTCTAAAGGGCAAGTCGCTGAAAGGGACAAAAACTGCCAGGCTTCTGTAATCTATAAAATGTGTAATTAGTCTATGAATATTTTGAGAGTTGCCTGTACAATAACACTGATTAAAAGGGCAATTTGTGATTCATACTTGATAAAATAGACCTTTGGTTTCTTTCTTTAGCAGTCAATTGCAATAATCAAAATCATATAAGAAAATATGCCTAATTACTATACATTTGTTTAAAAGAAAATAACATCCATTTATGTATTGATATACAAAGATATCTTATTGATCAATTTCATTCCCAAGATCAGTGCAAAACATGATCATACTACTGAAAATTGTGTCTTAAAAAATATAAAGTTGGGATAGTCTATTTTCAACAAAGGAGGTTTTCATGTGGTTTCTATGATAGCTGGTGAATAACTACATTTAATAAATACAGTAAAATGCAAATCACACAAAAGTGGCAAGATAAAGCCCGAGGCACCCAGCTCTGTATTTGAAAATTCAGTGCCTTTGAGAGTCTAAAGAGAGGTGTAGATATAGCCAGTGAATAAAATGTACTCATACCTGAGTTTTGTTTCCCTATTTAAACTAGTATTATAATTTCAAATTATTTTATGTCCTAAAGTAAGTAAAGTATTTCAGATTCTTTGTATGCTACCATGAGTTGTTTTAAGAAAATTGGAATGGGTTGTTCTATTCTACTATTATATTTGTATAAAGCCAAAAAACATGCCATAGTTTCAGAAAGGGTATAGCCAATTGTGGAATTGTGTTGTTATGTGAATTCATAGTTATAAGTTTTAGCATATCAACTATGAAGCCATAGCCAGATCTATCTTGACGAATATCTCTTATAATTGTGGGCCCTATGTGTTTGGAGGACCAAGATTTTTCTTAAAACGAGTGTAGGTACATGCATACATACATACGCACATAATTGAAGGACAATTTCCTGAGTTTATTTATGTCACATTTATCAAATGTTTTTTTATGAAACAAGCAGTGTTTTGGGGGCTTTAGTGTTAACAGTGAACAGTAGTTATAAAATCCTCATGTTTATGGCATTTATGTTTTAGTGGGGTATGCAGGTAATGTACAAATATAAAAAGCATATAATATCAGTGAGTAATAAAGGTTATGAAGAGAAAGCAAAATAAATATAAGAGTATGTCAGGGGATGTGCATAAATATGCTGTTTGCTATTTTGTGTTATGGAGTCAGGCCAGACTTGTTTGAGGAAGGAGCAGAGACCCAGTCAAGTGTGGAAGCTAACCTGGTGGATATCTGGTAGAACGATAATCCAGGCAGGGAGAACCACCAGGTCCTAAAGTGGGATCTTCTTTGCCATGCTGTGCTTGAAGGCCCGGAAAAAAAAAAAAAAAAAAAAAAGCAACAATGGCTAGACTGACTGAGAGGTGGTAGAAAATGAGATTGGAGACATGCCGGTCGTTAGATCATATTTTTAACAGGTCATTTTACAGACTTTGGATTTTATTCTCAGTGTGATGTGGAAGACTTGTAGGATTTTGAGCAAGGGAAACCAAGGAGGCAATATCAATGAATCTGCTTAATAACCCAAATATTTTTTATCATTATGGATTCAAAGATATTTTATAGGAAATCCACTATCTTATTTTTATGTGAAAGACTGTGATATTAATTACTAAACTAAAGACATAAATATCTGAAAGCTAAGTTCTGTAGCTTTCATTGATTTATGAATACAAATGTAATAGTACTTTAGTAAAGTGAAATTTAATGCAGTCACTGATATTGAAATCAAAGCACACATTGTCTTAAAATTTTTTTTTAGTCAATTGGGACAAAAGTATGGAAGCCAGGAATACATTTGGAAATCTATCGTTTTCTGAGTGTGGCAATGTTGTGATTTGATAAGTTACCAGAAAAAAAGGTGTAAGGTGAAGAAGAGGAAAGACTTGTTTATTCGTGGTAATTGTTGAGCACTTCCTGTATGCCTAGCCTTAATAAATAGTTTTGGTTTAAAAATCATTGCAGCAAAATTGTCAGGAATAATAGGGTAAAAAAGAAATCTGTTATCATATTTGGATATTTTAACATTCTTTCTCATTCATGGTAGAACAATTACGTGGGAGAAAGATCAATGAAGATGTAAAAAATCTGAATGAAATTATCAACTACTTGACCTGATTAATATTCATAGAAAACTATCCCTAACTACAAAACATACCATACTTTCAAGTGCATATGGAAGTAAATTAAGAATTAATATATATAACATAGATAATAGTGGCCTTATCTATTTGGAAATTTTAAAATGACCTTTTAGATAACCCTTGGGTCAAAATGGAAATTAGAAAATATTTCAAACTAAATTTTAATAAGAATTTAACACATAAATATCTGTAGATGCAACTAAAGCATTGCTCAGAAAGGAAGTTATAGTTTTACAATGCTAATGTTAGAAAGGAAGATATAAAATCAATATTCTAAATACCTACTTTAAGAACTAATAAATAAAATAAATACCTCATGTGTAAATTCATTATAAGTAGTAAGATATTACTATGCCAGTTTTTTAGATGAAAGGCATAGAGACGTTAAGAAACTTCCTTAAGGTCACAGAACTAAAGGAAGAGTCAGAATTTGGGGCCATGTCTGGTGGACACAGAATGAGAATTGTAGCAGTTTAGGTAAGAAGAGATATGGTATGTGCAGCTGTGAGTTAAGGGTGCCAAGATGAGCTGTGGTAAGAACCACAAGAAAGCCATAACTAAACACAAACAGATACTCCCAGAGATACATACACAGGGCTGGGGCCCAGGGTGACATCCCAATTTTATATGCTGAATTCTTCAAAATATGAAGATTTTCTCTGTGCTTTTTAGGTATTCAACTGACATAATCTTGCTCCTATTCTTTACTTAAACTTGAGATTAAAAAATAACTTTAATTCAAGTTATTGTATAAGAAAACACTGTACTAGTTTGGATTCATTTTAATTGTTTGTGACAGAAAACCGCAAATCTCTATAGCTTAAATTAGGTGGAAGAGGATTTGTTTCTCATGTGAGAAGCCAAAAGGTAGGTAGTGGAAGGGCGATTGCAGTGTGAGGGGCTCAGGCTCCTTCTAGTTTTTTGCTGTGTTGTGGATGATTTTAATTCTCATGATTATCTAATGTTCTAAGATGGCTGCTGGTGCTCTAGCCATCGTATTCCTGCAGAAAGCTCTGAGGAAGAGGGAAAGATGGGCATTTCCTATCTCTTTAATGCCATCTTTTATTTTTATTGAAATACAATTGACATTAGTTCTAGAAGTACAACATAATGATTCAATATTTGTGTATATTGCAGATCGATTACCGCTGTAGGTCTGGTTAACATCCATCATTATACAGTTACAAAATGTATTTTCTTGTTTAAGTTTATTTATTTTGAGAGAGAGAGAGAGAGAGAGAGAGCAGAGGAGGAGCAGAGAGGAGGGAAAGAATCCTCTAAGTAGGCTCCAAGGTGTCAGCATGGCCAGACCTCACAAATCATGAGCTGAAATCGAACGTGAGTTGCTTAACTGACTAAGCCATCCAGGTGCCCCTGTGATGAGAACTTTTAAGATCTACTGTCAGCAACTTTTAGGTATACAACACAGTATTATTAACTATAATCACCATGCTTTATATTACATCTCCATGACTTACTTTATACCTGGAAATTTGACATTTTTGACTCCCTTTTTGCATTTTTAATGCCATCCATTGGCCATTGTTTACACCCTTGACTTACTTCTCCTCAGCTGTGTCCACACATAACTGAGAGAAGGGGGCAAAGAAGTTCTTCCAGGCAGCCACATGCCAGCTAAAACTTGGAGAATTTATTGCTGTGGAGGAATGGAAGAATGAGTACAGGGAGTCAGATATCTGCAGTCCACAAATTTAGATGAGGAAAACTCATACAGACACATGGGTCTCCTGGGTGGCTCAGTCAGCTAAGCATCTGACTCTTGATTTCTGCTCATCGTAATCTCATGGTTCCTGAGATCGAGTCCCACGTTGCGTTCTGCACTGACAGCACAAAGCCCACTTGGGATTCTCTCTCTTTTTCTCTCTCTCTGTCCCTCTCTCACTCACTGTCTCACTACAAAATAAATAAATAAGCTTAAAAAGAAAAATAAAGGGGCGCCTGGGTGGCGCAGTCGGTTAAGCGTCCGACTTCAGCCAGGTCACGATCTCGCGGTCCGTGAGTTCGAGCCCCGCGTCGGGCTCTGGGCTGATGGCTCAGAGCCTGGAGCCTGTTTCCGATTCTGTGTCTCCCTCTCTCTCTGCCCCTCCCCCGTTCATGCTCTGTCTCTCTCTGTCCCAAAAATAAATAAACGTTGAAAAAAAAAAAAGAAAAATAAAATTAATACAGACACAAAGAGCACATTGAACATAATGTAGCTATGGTTACCAGTAATGTTTTGTGTAAATCAGGAGTAATCATATCCTTTTGTTTCCATTGTTTGTGACCGCTTACAGCATTGCCAAATCAGATGGAAGAACTAAAATAGTCTGTTACTTTTTATCTCCTATTTTCCCCTCCCTCCGCAGGTATCACCACAGTCCTGACTATGACAACTCTGAGCACAATCGCCAGGAAGTCATTACCTAAGGTTTCTTATGTGACTGCGATGGACCTCTTTGTTTCTGTTTGTTTCATTTTTGTTTTTGCAGCCTTGATGGAATATGGCACCTTGCATTATTTTACCAGCAACAAAAAAGGAAAGACTTCTAGAGACAGAAAGCAAAAAAATAAGAGCTCGGTATGTTATAAAAATCTGTTTATAAAATGTTTATAAAATAACATCAACTTATTACAATAGAGATGGTGTTCTGAATACTCATGCTATACTTGCTTAGACAAATATGGATTCTTGAAGTACCCAACAAAAGATAAATAACGTTAAGATGACACCGGAGTACCTAACATGGCCTACCAGGAGAAGTATATTGACAGTGCCCTTTAGAAAAGACTCTGAATCCCCTTGTAAAGGGTGGTTTCTTACATTGTGGATTTTCCCCAACTGGTAGATTTTTTGTACCCCCCAAATTATTTAAGATCTCTCTTTGATGCTATTTTTGTGTTAGGATTTTCACTTCTTTTTTTTTTTTAATTTTTTTTCAACATTTATTTATTTTTTGGGACAGAGAGAGACAGAGCATGAACGGGGGAGGGGCAGAGAGAGAGGGAGACACAGAATCGGAAACAGGCTCCAGGCTCTGAGCCATCAGCCCAGAGCCCGACGCGGGGCTCGAACTCACGGACCGCGAGATCGTGACCTGGCTGAAGTCGGACGCTTAACCGACTGCGCCACCCAGGCGCCCCAGGATTTTCACTTCTAACAAAAGGTGGCCCACAAAATTACTTGATTTTTAGAGATAAAGAACCCTCTTTAATATTAGTATTCAGCTGTGTTTGAAAGTCATAGCTATGAAGTGTTTTTGATTCGCCTATATTTGTGCTCTCTTACTCCCCCTTCCCTATCATGTATCTACCCCAACATACATCACATCAAATTGATAGATTAGAAGTGGCTCTATTAATTTCAATATACTTAAGTATTGGATGACCAACTATAATCTATTATAATGGCAATTGTAACAACCTTCAAGTAATATCCAGCACTTACTGAGTATGCCAGGTATTTTATGTGCATGATTTCATTTATGTTCCTATGAGGACAAGTTCAGCAATTTGCAGAAGGACAGACAGCCTTAGGAACTGAAGAATCCAAGACTCAAACCTAGGTCTTTTTTGGTGCCAGAGCTGAAGCTTGTAATCACTCCTTAGTGTTTCCTGTTCTTATAGGACTCAGAAAAGTCAACATCTGTTCCTCCAGTATTGACCAAAAAAAAAAAAAAAAAAAAAGCCACTATTTTGCTGATTCCAGGAAATGTTTTTTTTTTTCAAAGCGGAGTTTTTTCCCAAATACCTAAATTAATGAGAACAGCTATCCTGAGTGGCAAGCTTGTAAGCCTACCATAGAGCGTATATAATAAGTCACGGAGTTTTCTATATTATCTCCTAACTTAGCAAGTTCTAGGATTCAATGCTTTTCTCCCCTCCTCCCATTTTTCATTAATTTCTTTATCACACTTTGACATCATTTTCAATTGTATTTTACTTTTCATATTATACTCCAAGGACCAAACCCTATGTGTATTTGCTTTTGGTTTCCCGCAATATTCCAAGAAAGTGGAGCACATTGATGGCAGTACACATTTGATAACCTACATTGCAGAATTAGTCTGTGACTTTCTCAATTTGACTTATTTTAGCTTACCCATAGGACATAATATAACCCCTGAATGGATAAACCATCAGGGAGCCATAATGTCAATGTTAATATCCATTTGCTAAATTTTTAGGTAAAGAAAAATGCAGGTTTTCTACCATTTTCCTTTAATCAAAGCCAAGCATCCTCTCTGGATTTTCCATTTCATCATTTACTCATCCATAGCTATGTTCAATGACTACTTTGAAAATTTTACTTCTGGAAACTGAATAAAAGGCAGGAAATCTATAATCTCACATAGATTCTCTAATTTCATTATAAAAATATACAAATGTAGCGACTATTATTATATTATCAAAGACACTCAACCAAAAAGTGGCTACTCTACGACTATAGCGAATCAGTTTGGCTATCACATTCACTCAGTAAACTTAACCATTGGAGTGCAAATTTTAAAACTATGATTTTTTAAAATAATTCATTCACCAAATATTTGTTAGGGACACCCATATCCTAGGCAATGTTCTAGAATTTAAGGGAAAAAATCTATACACTGGGTATTTAAAATTTAGCATCAGGCCCAGGAGGCAAAATAATAAACATGAAAAAATAAGGAATAAAAATTAAATAAGAGCTTTGAAGCACTAAATTTCAACCATTAAAAGTTAAATTGATATATATTGTTGACTACCTAGGTACAAAAAATATTTTTATTAGAGCTATCCAGAATAAAGTTCTGTAGTCTTTCCTTTCTGTTCAGTTATGTGATTTATGAGCTCTTTTAATAGTAAATAACATGTTGATTGAAAAACCAGGATCAGTAATCAAATCTGACTCCCTGCTTGGTTTTGTGTTCAACCATATGGTCTTGCTAATTGAGTAAATCAGATTGCACTTTCATGAAGAATAAACAGCTTTGCTTGTTGTCTCGAGTGCTCTACTTAATCGTTTTGTGGAGTCTGTTCTTTCTTCTGCCAGCCAGGACAAAAAATTGCATAACCTAGACCCAGAAGTCTTGAAGCATCTTGGCTTTACACCTTTTCAAATGTTTCTGTTGTTGTTGTTGTTGTTGTTGTTGTTGTTGTTACTGTTCTCATCTTCCTGTTTTTCTTTTCCTTCCTCTTGTTCTTCCTCCTCTTTTTCCTCCTCCCCTCTCCCTCCTCCTCCTTCTCCCACTTCTCCTCCTTCTCCTTCCCCTTCTGTCTCTCTTCCTTCCATACCCCCACTTTCTTTCATAAACTCAAAATTCTGAGGAGTTTAAAACATGGCATTTTCCCCTTTTTGTTCTCTGAATGACTTACAGGAACAGTCAAGTCAGAACCAAAGACCTTGACTAGAGTCACTGAAAGATCAACGTGTCTGTTATTAAGCAAAACCGAAATCCCCTTCTTGAGGTCTCTTTGCTTAACTGAATCTCAGATTATTCAATTTATTTAAAAAAGCGATAATATTTGAATACAATAGATTTTTAGCTCCAATGACCCTCTTAAAAAAACAAATTAATAAAAATACTTTTCACCTTACTCTCCATGTGATATATTAGGCCTTTTCTCTATTTCCCTTCCTTTTTCTGTTCTCTCTTTCTCTCTCCCCCTCTCTCTCTCACTCTCTGTGTCTCCCCCTTTACCTCCCATCTTCCTTCCTTTCTTCCTCCCCCTGCTTTCGTCTTTCCATATCTATTTCTTTCCTCTTTATTTTTTTTTTATTGTGAATATCATTGACATTTTAATTTGGCCCATATTTCCATCCCATATAATACATATTATTGTGTTTTTATTCATACTCATTAAGAACATGCTTCAGGTATGTTTATGTCAACATCTGTTTTGTTTTTCTTTTTTAAATCTAAGAAGTTAAGAGTGTTGTAGCATGGAATCCAGACTCTACAAAACAGGTAAAGGTCATAGAAATACAATTGTAGTAAGCCATTCATTATTAACTAAAGAGTAGTTCGTGTTGAAACTAGAATATTCATCCCATAGATGATTAGAAATCTCAGAAAACCATATTATACCTATATCAGGGGCCTGGTATACCCATCTGAGGAGAGACTTACTTATTTGTAATCTCTTAATTTGGTTAAAGTATGCAATCATGGAAATGTATTTCACCGATCATGGACAAGGCACTTTGGAGAGAAAAAACAATAGAATGTGTTCTTTGCTTTCATAGATCTTAAATGTAGTTATGGAAAAATATAATATACATGTAAACATAAGATAAAGTATAATACAAATTAAAAATAAAAATGAAGATAATAAGAGAATTAGCTCAGAAGACTGGGTTCAAATACTTTTTCAGAAGCAGTGTTTTCTATAGTAAATATATATTAGCATATTTTAAAGGAAATGTTCATATTGAAATAGAGACAAGTACCATGAAGCCTGACCTATGTGGTTTATCCCTCGCATTGAGGAAGTCCAGAAACACCAGGTGACGTGGTCTGTGAAACACTGACTTCAGCACACAGTGCTGAGAGGAGGTTATGTTAATGTGAGTCACGATGGAATGGGTGGTTTCCTTCCATTTCCGGTGTAAATAACTCACTCAGAAAGTTGTAAAGTAATGCTTTCAAAGGGGATTTGACAGAGAAAAATTCATAGGAAGTGTGATGTCATCGAATTCGTTCTTTCAAGAGTAAGTTACAAAGTTCAGGAGAACAAATTAGGAAGAATATTTAAGATAGAGAAAGAACCATGTGAGCCAAGCTGAGTCTTATGTGAGAATAAGATATAGACTTATGAGACTTATGAGAAAAAGATATAGATAGACTGGTATATGTTCCAAGCTGTATTGTCCAGTGCAGTAGCCATTGGCCATATATCGCTAGGTTGATTTAAATTGATTAAAATTAACCCAAATTTAAAATTCAGTATCTTAGTATCATTAGTCATATTTCAAGTGCTCAATAGCTGCATCTGACTAGTGAGCACCATGTTGAACAGTGCAGACACAGGACATTTTTGTCATCATAGAAAATTGTACTGGACAGTGCTGGTCTAGAAAATAGGAATCTTAGGAAAGAAAATAACCTAGGTTGAGGATAGAAAAGCGGTATATGGCCAAGTTGTGGAAAGTCTCCAGTACCAAGCTAAAGAATTTATATTTTGTACTGTCAGGACTGTTAAGCCATGAATGTTTTTAGGCAAGATGGCATATTTGTATCTATGTTTCTGAAAGACGATTAGAGGTAGCCTGGAATATGCACTTGAATGACAAACAAGGCAGGGAGATAAATTTGGAAACTATTACAATAGTTCATTCAAGAAGTAATATATCACAGAGAGCAGGACCCAGGATATTAGAGTGAAGATAATGTGTGGGAAAGTTTTTGTTTGTTTTGCCCATAATCCCCACCCCTCAGCTCCCTTCAAATAAATGATCTTATTTTCAGTTAGTACATATCTATATAAATATTCATCTACCTTTGAGAGTACTGAAATAAAAGCCATATAAATACGCAGTTTCACAAATTATAAATCTTTCCCTTAATGGCATTTGGCAAAGCCTCTAGGAGAGATCATTTG